TCCCCGCGCGCGTTGCTTCGCGATCCTCTCACACGAATTAACTCCAGAGATATCCGGAGAACCTCCGCCCCCCCCCCTCCCTCCCGCGAGTCCACAGCAGCGACTCGGAATGCAAACGAGCCGCGATGATCTCGCCGACGACACTGCCGTCGCGTTATTATTAATTGGCCGCGAAGAGCCGCGCGCGCTTCCTCGTCAATTATTCTTGCACGCGCGGATCTCGGCGGGTGCGCGAAGAACGGGGTTCACTACGGCCGGTTCCCTGGGCTCGGGTGTCATTATGAGCTTTTACGCGCTCGTAAAAGCAGAAATGGAGTGACGGAGGTGAGAGTGCGCGCCGCTCACGGGGGAGGGGGGGGGCGTAAGGGACGACGGCGGCGGCGCGAGAGGAGAAGTGTAACGGGAAGGTATGGATATTGCAAATTTGCGAGCCGCATTACGGAGAGAAAGCATTTGCCGGCGGGAGAAAGAGAGAGAGAGAGAGAGAGAGAGAGAGAGAGAGAGAGAGAGAGAGGGAGAGAGAGAGAGAGAGAGAGAGAGAGAGAGAGAGAGAGAGAGACGGAGAGGGGGAGGCGGGCTGAGATATCAAGCCGCGACATCTAGGCGAGCGCAATCGAGCTTAACGCGTTAATAAAGGTCGGTGATGTCGGGTCGTTAGCCTGATCGGGAGATACGCGTAATATCTATTAGCTGGTAGTTGCTCGGCAACGTCGCGCGTTAATATATCGCGGGGAAGGAAAGATATCGTTAACGGGAAACTGAATATCGCGCGCGCTCCTCACACGTCACGGATACTCGCGTTTTTGCTCGGCCGTCGTTCGCGCGGACGGGCAAACGTTGGCAGGAGAGAAAGAAAAACAGAAGAAAGGGAGCGCGTGCCGCGGAAGGGCACGCAAAGAAAGCAGGGGGGGAGGAGGGGGAGAACACGTTGCATCGACAGAAATTAAAGAGGCACGAGTCTCATCGATTGCACGGGCCTGCCCGTGCTCTCAAATTATCAGTTTCGATGACTCAGCTGGCGTTTGAAACGGGCGCGATGATAAAGACGTCTCGCGTTCGCGCAGCGCGCGCGCGCGGTTCGGAAAGTAATTCTTCAACGGGAGACTGACGAAAAAAAAAATAACAAGGGAGAAGAAGAGAGATAAAAGAGGGAAGGAACGAGGGGAGACGGGGAAGAGAGGTACCGCTCCGCTGCGCGACGGTGCTTTAACAAGGGAAAAATACTCGCGGTCGTCGAGCAATTTTATTTACCGCGGTTAAACGAAATCTTGAAGAATGCAAGCGGCGGACCCGTAAATCGCGCCGCGGAATCTATTGTACCTCGTCTCTCGGAGAAGGAAAGCTGTGCGTCACGTCGCTGTTTTCGCCGCGGATGCGCGAAAGGGAGAAACGGCAACGAGCTACGCTGCCTTGCGTTCCCCTCGTCGTGCGCTCCGCGACGTGTCCGAACGAACGTGGAGCCGAACGGTAATCTCCCTGACGGGGGGGGGGGGGAGACGGGGAGCGTAACAAAGCATCTCAATTAGTCGGTCCTTCGCCTTGTCCTTCCGCGGTGGAGGGAAGAATGCTAACGGCTAAAATATCAGCCCTTTGACGTGGTCCCTCCCTTTGCGAAGGAAAGGAAGAAGAAGAAGAAACGAGCAAATACAATCACCGCGGAGACATCGCGCACGAAAGCCGCGCCCGTCGCCGCGCGTTCCTCTCGGAGCGAGGCGGTAAGTGAATGTAAATACAGGCGCAACTTAAGCACACCGGGATAACCCCGGGGAAACGGAAATATTTGCGGATGCCTCGCCGCGACGGGAAAATTCGCTATTCATTTAAACGGCACGATAACCGCGCGAGTCCTCGTCACCGTGCCAATCGGCTTACCGATCTCTCTCCAGCCTCCTCCATCGCCCTCCTCTCCTCTCCTTTTTCTCCCGCTCTCTCACCTTTCTTCACGTTTAAGCTCTCCGAAGTCACCACTTACATCGGTGATACGAATTCGAGATACCTGTCGCGAAATTGCATTGTTAATAACAGTCGCGGATAAGAGCGGGGGGAGGGGGGGTAACGAAGGCGGCGACTTAGACTTAGCGCTTAATTGTTAGCGAGGCTGATAATTAACGAACGATAATCCGCGGCGAACTTCCGGGCTCGCGCGCGAGTTCTCTCCGCCGCCCTCCGGCGGGTGCTTGTGGAGGGGGGCGCGATAAGCTACAAAACTTTGGGCCTTAAAAGTAAAATATGCCGTGTAATTAATGTACGTTTCCTTCCGGCAACGCGCCGGCAAACGACGGCGACGGCGTTAATTAATTTATAGACGTGGCCATCGAGCTCTCCCGTGTACGAGGAGACTTCTTTTTCTTCTCGAGGCAGCTCGCTGTCCTTCGTCTCTCTCGTAACTCGACTCCGAAAAGCCGAAGTTTCCGTTTTATCGCGCCGCAAACCAAATTTACCGGGCTCTCTCGTGTGTGCATGTATATATGTGTGTATGTGTGTGTTTCTCTTTCTTTCTTTTTCTCTCGCTCTCGGCACGAGCAGTAAGACGCTCGACGGGACTATAACTTTGTAAAGGTACAAGTGGCTTAAGTTGTTTCTCGACTCTGTCATATAAGCTCATCGATCCGATTATACGAGGCGAGTCGTGAAATCTATTGGTTATCGCTTCGTGCGATGTAAGAAGGACATAGCGAGTATTTTTTATTTCGTCTCCGCGACTTTTGCGCTGCCTCGACACGGCGACATCGGCGAAATAATACGCGTGAGATAAACAAACTAGGCAAAGAGGAAGAGGAAGAAGAAGAAGAAGAAGAAGAAGAAGAACCGAGTCACGGTGTTACGTCGAAGGAGGAACTCTCGGAAACTCGCTGGAAGGCGCGAGCTCGATTCGCGAGACGCGTCATTTATCCGACTGACAGCGATATTCGGTTAACGGGGAGCCGCGACCGTAGGGAGAGATTTTATCGGCGCGAGTTTGGATTCGCCGTGCAAGAGCCGTAAATAGCAAGCGCGCGAGTCCTCGAAGTTGCTTTTCTCCCTGATGATGAGTAATTACGCTACCCGCGGAAGAAAGGTACAATGCTCTTTCTCTCTTTCGACAGAAAGGAAGAGAGAGAGAGAGAGAGAGAGACAGAGAGAGACAGAGAGAGAGAGAGAGACAGAGAGAGAGAGAGAGAGAGAGAGAGAGAGAGAGAGAGAGAGAGAGAGAGAGAGAGAGAGAGAGAGAGAGAGAGAGAGAGAGAGAAGCCGATCCCCGCGCAGGTGTGTATAGCCGTTGCTCCTTAGGATCATTTGTTCAGCCGTTGTGTTAAGGGTCAGGGCTGGAAAATGATAAACGATCCCCTTTCCTTACTCATCTTCTCGCCGCGGGCTTCGTCCCCGTCCGCGTGCGTTTCGCCTCGGAGATCGCTCTTTCGAAGGGAATAACGGGTGCGAGAGCGGGCGGAGAAGGAGAGAAGAGGACGAAAAAGAGGAAGAGACGAAAAAGGAGAACACTGGAAAGGAGAAATACGACCGCGCCTCGGTCCCTTCGTTCACCTTCGTCTCAATGTGGGCGAAATTTAAAGAGGCGGCTGTTGCCGGTCGAGCGACTGGGGCTTAAAGGGGAAATCCGTGAAGGCGACCGTCCACGACCGTGATGGTCATGACGACGTCGACGACGACGACGACGACGGTGATGACGCGCACGAGCGCTAGCGCGAGATTCGCTTTGGGGGGGGGGGGGGGAGAGAGAGAGAGAGAGAGAGAGAGAGAGAGAGAGAGAGAGAGAGAGAGAGAGAGAGAGAGAGAGAGAGGGGAGAGTGCGGCGCGACGCGCCACCCTCGGGACGATTTAAATCAATTCGCCGCGCCGTCGCGGATAAATCCCCGCTCTGACGTTTAAGCGATCGCCAAAGTTTTTCATAGCGCCGCGCTACGCGCGATGTATAAGCGCGGGGCATGAAAGTTTGCTCCTTAAACGATCACAGTCTTGGCAAAGTTCTTTCGCGCGCCGGCGCTAGGCCGTCCGAGAGGCGGCCAGGATCGAATCAGCCGCGCGAATTACGTGCATGTATGTTCGATTATCGACGTGCAAGTAATTACCCGCAGGGCGTTCATCCGCCCTCTTCTCCCCCATGCGGTCGCAGAAGCGACCGGATGAGCGGCGATAAGCAAGCGAGGGGGGGGAAGGGAAAAAGTCGAAGGGCGTCGTCGGCGAATTTAAGTTCGGTCGGATAATTTCCGGTAATGGAAAGCCGGTCCTATCTGGAGGAGGCAGAGAGCTTACCTCGACATTGGTATCAACCAATCCCAGGTGTTCAATTGGCGCTACGCCAGAATTTAAGCTTGGCTTAAATTCCGCCCAGTTGCTACGTAACTGGGGCAGATTCAGATTAGGATTAACTAATTGTTGCGTACACCATCGTAATTAGGCGGAATTTCCGCATACTCCCCGCATACTAATATTTGATGAGAAACCGCGTAACGTCGCGGGCGCGCGCGCGCTTCAGAGAGAAAGAGAGAGAGAGAGAGAGTGAGAGAGAGAGAGAGAGAGAGAGAGAGAGAGAGAGAGAGAGAGAGAGAGAGAGAGAGAGAGCGTCAGAGCGAGAAACAGAGAGGAGATAAACGTATTCCGCGGCGCGCAATCGCGATGACTTACGATCGATGTTAATACCCGAGAGCGACTGGCGTCTCTTCGGGCGCGCTTTGTTCGACTTTGCTCTCCATCGTGACGTGTCGTCATTGAATGTGCAGCTATATGCGCCAAACTTGTCTTCGCGAATTTATGATACGCGCACGGTTAGGTCAGCGCGCGAGTCGCTCGAAAGTATTAATTATGTCTCGTATTCTCTCGTGAATATACAATATACACGGAATGTACAATTGCTCATGTACATGTGTGTGTGCACACACACACTTGAGCCTCACACAGCTAATCTCGCGTTAGTCCCAGTCATGTTGTCGATCGTGACCAACGTGATTTGCGTTGTATCGTGGCGGCTGTGTATGAGCTGTATGTCGATTACCGTAACTTACCGATTACACTTAAATGGACTAGATGACTCATGTGGGGCGTCGTGGAGACCTGGCACTCGTAAATGCCGCTGTCCCGGTGCTGCGGATACTTTATTTGCAGCGTCCAGTCTTCCGACTGGGCGGGATGGATCACGCGAAATCGCTGGTCGTTCGTGTACGTGTAACGGCCAATCGTGAGCAAATGGACGTCCCTGTGCCGGACCCACGATACTTGTAGCGTCATCTGCAAAGGAAGAGGAGACAGATCGAGGGTTAGTACGCGGGCGAAATAGGCGACCGCAATGTCGTGCTGCGAGAGAGAGAGAGAGAGAGAGAGAGAGAGAGAGAGAGAGAGAGAGAGAGAGAAAGAATCGCAAATGACTTCACGCTGGTCGAGCGCGCGGTACCCGGGATCTTTTGTGCCCGGTTAAGGGTTACCCATTTCGCCGGGACACGTAATTAGCGCGCCGTTTGTGCGAGGCGTGCCTATAATTAGCTAGATATCGGCTGGGACTTTTAATTACATTCCCGAGTGCGTCCTCGACGTGCTACGCGCTGGTGGCAAACTCTGGTCGCACACGTTGACACTTCTTCATCATTGTCATCGTCATTATAATCATCTTCTTTCACTCTTGATAAACGGTGTAGAGGTGTGAGCGGACGGACGGAGTAGCTTTCCCGATAATGAACAACATATCCGAGCGATTTTCACGGAGCGAAAATTGCGTGTCAAAAATTGCTACTGAGTTCCGATATGGTCTTGACATCTATTAGGTGAAAACTCTCATTGGTCCCAGCAAAATGCGATATAATATGGCATGACGCATGACAAATCGGAGAAATGACAGATCAGCCGAATAATCAACATAGTCATAATTCCAATTGAAGCTTAGCGCGCGTGGTGGCGCGAATTAAAATAACGAGTTGAGATGGAAGTAGCGCAATTACGTCAAACACGTCTCGACATCCGGACCGATGTGGACACCGATGTGTTGCAATTATTAATCTTAACATTTTCGCTCCATTGTTATTTCTTGTTATAATATCATATATATTTCTTGTTATAATATATCGATTCTTTAATTCGGTCATTTGTATCATTTGCACCAATTTGCAGCTGCATTTTACTTATGCAATCGTGCATTATAGTAAAATATCCATGTACAAATTCGAATTGTTTCAATCTGACAGGTATCGGAATCAGTTGAACGCGAGTTGATTAAAACGGCATGAAAGAGATGTTTCATATAAGAAACATATAGTCTGTATATTGTCTGTGGATAAATTATCACAATTATGACAGTGAATTATCTTATATAAATAGTCGACGGGTAATTTCATTTGGATCATAATCATATCCGAACACCGAGTGACGGAAGTTTAGCAATCAGGAGCAAGCAGCACAGGTAGCTCGAGTATTGCTGTTCATTCGTGCGTTTAAAAATTTTTACTACTTCTGAAGTAACTCGGAAACTTTCTCTACGTGTCCTCTATGTGTTGATAATAATTTCGTATAACTTCCTCGGTAGTTGTATAACTAGATTATTAGCTCATTGTTCGTCCTTACAGAAGTGAAAAGCAATCTGTGCCCCGTAAAAAAAAGTCAGTCGTCCGACTAACTATTGGAGGCACATCGCTGCGAACGCGAGTACGGGCGAATTTTATACGACCTCCATCATTCATTATGCACCTTACTGTAATTATGACCAGTGAGTTTTCACCTGATGAATGTCAAGACCATATCTAAACTTAGTATACAGATAAGGATACATGATGTATGGATAAGAAATTAATAGCGGTGACGATAAAGAGAGGCTAACCGACCTGATTCGTTTGTCGCGTACATTTCCGAATAAAAGAGAAAATTGCTCTTATCACATCGAAAGTACGCGGTCGCAAGTCGCGTGCTCTCCGAGTGCGTGAGCAAGACGAAGACGATGATGACGGCGACGACGCGAAACGCGGGGAGGGCTCGTACGAGCCGGTCCCGCCGCCGCACAGTGCACTGAGAGAAAAGTATACGATATCTGGAACTATAATGATATAGTAACTAAATTATAGTCCGAAATATCATATTTATTGTAAGTATTACCATAATATCGGTAATAATTACGATATAAGCATAGTATACTCAACCAACCATATAATATTTTTTACTAAGAATTATAGTAAGTTGAACTAAATTTATTATATGGATACAAATATAAAATGGTAGGTAAAGTAACTCTTTTATATAGTCAATATTACCAGAGTATTTGCTAAGTAAGATGACAGATGTAACTATATGAATATTAAATCTCACTATATTTGTGAATGAGAAATTACCATATGTGTGGTAAAAGTAACTAAACAATTATTTGAGGCAATCATTGACTATATGTTTGTGTTTATTCTACTATATCTTGCAGGTTCCACGAATTATAAAAATATGGTTGATGCCAAAATGAACTATAAAATATAATGAGATTATAGTTAATTCAACTATATATTTCTATCAGTGCGGCCAAATGACATTTTTTGGTTGAGAATTCTCTAGAGACTTGAATTTCCAACCGATCATCGACACCAATGGATGAGGTTGATCCTGAATAAATTCCAAAGAGATCTGTCTAGCCGAAATTTTGAACAAATTATCGGTTCAGAGTTCAGAGAGAGAGAGAGTTTAGGGTTTGTCTTAAAAGTTTATCGTTTAAAGTACAGTGTCTTGGGTTCGACTTCAATGGGACCGAGAGCCTATGGATACTAAATGCGAGACCTCAGAACTTATAATCACCTTTTAGAAAACTCAGAATTTTAAAGTTCATCAGCTCAGCTAAAAAGTTCTCGAATTGATAGATTCCTAGGTTGCTTAAGACTCAAAATCCCTCAGTTTTGTGCTTAACGGGCCTAATATTTGATGTTTTTGTATTTTGGACATATGAGTTTTGGGTTAATGGGTTTCTGCTTCAAGATCGACAAATCTCGAGGTGTCTGTTGGATTGGTTTCATAGTTTCAATCCGCTGAATACGCTGTTAGATAGAAATAAGTGTCGAATAATGAGTATTTCACAAGTCTCTCGCGTTTAACGATAATTTTTCCTCATTTTAGGGCTTAATAATTCGAGAAAAAAATGTTTTTTTAACTTTGCCAAGACAGATATCTCTTCGGAATTTCTTCAGGATCAACCTCACCACCATTGGTGTCGATGATCGGTTGGAAATTCAGGTCTCTAGAGAATTTTCAACCAAAGAATGTCATCTGGCCCCACTGTGCGCCGCCACCGCCGCCGCTGTTTCCAATGAGACGTGTAATATTAATAAATTACAAAGCGCTAGATCCTTCCTAAATTCGGCGCCAGCGGGATATACGACGGCCCGCATCAGATACAAGTTCCCGAGCGTGTTACGCGAGCGTGCCTGCTCGTACGTGCGGGGGTGGGAATTAATAGAGTCGCTTTGCATATCTTTGCGAAGTTAGCGTGCGAGATAAAACGCTGCGAGCCGCGATAATTGGACACTCGGGCCCAGCGACGTGTAAATATTTGCATCCTTCGTAAGGTACGCATTGGATACGAACATTCGCATTGGCGGCATGAACGCCGCCAATGTGCGTGCGATACGCGCCGAAGCGTCCCGAGACGACTTTGCGGGCGATATCGCGCGCAGGAGAAGAAGTGCAGGAGTATCGCACGCATGCGGTCAACTAACGTGCGAATGTTTGTTCCCGTAACCGGCGAAACGAACCGGACGTTCCGATAATGAAAGTTAAGTCTGACTTGCATCGGGGGGGGGGGGGGGAGAGAGAGAGAGAGAGAGTCGGGAGTTAATTAAATCCGGGTTAAAATGACAAACAAACGAACCTCCAAGTGCACGCATACGCGACGCACGTACCCGTGCATACATTTTGCAAACACCCGAGAAAAATTGAGTTAATCGAGTTGGAATCAAACATCAGAGTTTGCCGGTTGCTTGAAAATAGCTTTAAGACCCGCGATATTAAATGGTCGCGAGGGAGTCGCGTCGTGCGACGAACAGCGGGGTGTACATTCGCACTCCCCCCCCCCTCCTCCGCCTTGCCTCGGCTATATCCTTCAATTTTAACGCTCGGTTGAAATCGCGTCCAAAGGACTTTCATTAAAAGCGCCACAAGCCGGCGATCCGGAGGGCGCGGGGGGAGGGGGGAGAGCGACGCGACTCGATATACCTATCTCTTTATACCACCAACACCGAGCCGCGTTCCCCGGGATTCGCTTCCACGGATCCTTATCCAACTCACTTGGTAGTTTCCGAGGACCTCGGTCTTGGCGGCGGGTCCTACCGGACGAATACGAGTTACCGCGGAAGTTTCGGGCGACCCGAAGATGTCCCTTGTTCGAGAACTTGCAGGCGATATCCGAGCAGATAAGGAGGAGGACGAGGCGGTCCGTAGATAAGGACGTCTCGACCAGAGAGAAGGGGGAGATGGGAGGGAGAGGCGGAAGTAGGAGACCTCGCTCTCTCGACGACCGGCGAAGGCGCTCGGTAAGTGGATACAGGGAGAGTTTGGTCAGACCGGGCGAGACCGTTCCTCCCTCTCTCTCTCTCTCTCTCTCCCCCCTATTTCGGTAACGCGCGTCGTTTTGTTGCGCTAGCTCGTTGCACGAGAGAGAGAGAGGGGGGGGGGAGAGAGAGAGAGAGAGAGAGAGAGCGCAGCGTATCTCGCTCGTGCGTCGGTTATGTTTCCTGTTAATTTATGACAACGGGCCGACACGAGCCGCCATAGTTGTTGCCGGGCTCGAAGGCTTCCGGCCGCGCGGAGCTCCGGACCGTGCCGGATCCGGAGAACGGTCACTGGGTGCGCGCGTCGGGTCAACGACGTCGAGCGCAGCGTGTGCATCCTGCGTTCCTGCTTCTCGGTTGCGCAGCCGGCGGCTCCTGACGCTGCCGCATAGTTGGCCTCTGCATACCGATTCCGCTGTCGCCGTGCACACGCGATTTATGCGAATTCCCTTTCTCGGCCCGCGCCGAATTCAGACAGACGGATAGACGGACAGATTTATTCTGCCTCGGACGAACAAATTCGTCGACGGAGCGAGAGAACGAGAGAGCGAGAGAGCGAGAGAGAGAGAGAGCGAGAGAGAGAGAGAGAGAGAGAGAGAGAGAGAGAGAGAGAGAGAGAGAGAGGGCGGGCGGAGTGGAGGAGGGGAAGAAGAGAAAGGAGGAAAACGAGAAGAAGAAGGACAATCGCGCGACGAGATTATATCGAGTGAAATAACGCGGGGGGAT